CTCTCAACTGAAGGAAAAGGTAAAAGTCGATGAAACGCCAAACAAGGAGACATTGATTCATTCAGCATCGTCTCAGTCGCCCAAATATTAAAAAAACATCCTTATCACCCTGTTGAGAAGATCATTTACTTTTCGGGGTTTAGCCTCCTCGGGAACTTTATCGAAAATATTTATCGTTTTCCGGATTAAGCGATCCTCTTCACGAAGCACTATCATGTGGATGGCGGGAAGTGTGAAGAAAGTTGCAAAGCCATCTTTCGAAATGAGATTTGGAATTTACCAGTGCAAGTTATGCTTTTCACATACCTTACTGGTGCAAGACAACATGATAATTAAAATAATAATAATAATAATAATAATAATAATGATAATACTAATCATAACAATCACTACGATAATAAAGGTTTAATTTACCACGAGATAAAAATACATCTCTCATAGGACAATAGCCAAACAACAAAGAATTCCAGAAATCAAACCCCAGAATTTACACCCCTTAGTCGAACTAAAATATTGTTTTCATAATGATGATATAAAACGATCAATTTTCAGCGCTCTTGTAAGTAGACACGCTACAATGCTAAGTTTGTCCATGGTGGCGACGGATATCGGAGTGAACGTAAACTGATTCATGCAACGATTCTTCATAGCTTGGGCACCATTGTAAATTAATTGTTCGTTTAACGTAGTAGCTCTTTTAAAACAATAAAGGTTACGGTAAGCAACTCTCGGTAACTTTTATGATAACAGCTTTTGACTGTTCTCGTATTTCTTCTTTTCAATTCTCATGCTCGTGTATTTAGAGTCAAAGCTGCTGTGTATAAAATTGCCTCGCAACAAGATTTATTATTCCAATGAGGAACGCCCTATCTGTTTGGAACACTCACTGATCATTTCCTTATTGATTCTTGTCCTTACCTTGAACGTTAACATTGAACATGACGCCCTTTTTGATACGTACGGCAACTAGCTTTGCATCTCTTAAACGGTGTCGAGCTGAAGTCCATAAACAATGAAGACCTAAACTATAACAACAAAATATTTTGAATATATCAACAAAGTTGAAATGGTAAATTGGCCACCGTTACGATTATAAAAGCTGACGTTTCGAGCGTTAGCCCTTCGTCGGAGCGAATAGGCGAATTGTGGGTTGCGTGTGCTTTTAAAGGCAGAAAAAGGAGCTACGTGATTCTGCCTTTAAAAGCACACACAACCCACAATTCCTCTATTCGCTCCGACGAGGGGCTAACACTCGAATCGTGAGCTTTTATAATCGCAACGGTGGCCAATTTACCATTTCAACTTTGTTGATATATTCAAATTATTTCGTTACACCCAGCGACACGGCCCCAAACAGTTTCTTTAGAAGCTATCAGCCTTTATTCATTTGTATACCAAGAAAAGCAAAACCAGCAGAGTTTGAATTCGGTGTCCTGGGCACTTTTTTCAGTTCGTGACTAATACTCTCACATACAGACCTCTTTTTACTGACGACAAGCAGCTGCGCAAGAAGACAAGGATGGTCTCTCATCGTTTTTACATATTCCCTTATCTACCCCTTGCAATGGTCGTCACCGGCTCAAACTTCTCAACTGTTCATAATGGCACGAAGCTCCAGAACAAATCAACTCTTCTTTAATATTCCAGAGATTAACAATTCTTAAATACTTTTACACATGTCGTCGCATGAAATGCTGATTTTTTTTAGGCTTGATATTTGTTAATTCTTGTGAGCATGAAATATTTACTCATGTCAACGATCCACACTGAACACCACTACACAAAGACTTTCAAGTTCGGTGGGGAACAAATTACAACTACAATAAACATCAAACTTGCGATCGTTAAGGCCTGCGATAGTTCATAGCCGTGAGACCTGCACTTCAACAAATATTTTCTTTCACAAAAACTGAGACGCTTTTTAATAATTCAATTTTGTCAAACCATGTCTCGGACCACTCAATAATTTTGAAATTCGAAGCAAGGAGTTGTCTCTGACAAATGTTGGTATAATTTACACCAAAATCTTTTAGTTTAAAAATTCATTCAGCCATCTAATCATGAACCATCATTTATCAATTTTTTTATACAAATTTTATCCTACTTCATTTCATTGTATTTATTCATTCAAAAATTTATTCGTTTTGTAGTGAGTAGAAGTAGTAATGGACAAAAATTCTCTGATCAGCTTTTAACGATCTCTAAATAAAAGTTTCAGACACAATTACAGCAATAACAACAACAACAACAACAACAACAAATAGGAACAATATTTGTTAATTCTTAGCACATAAAATGCATATCTAACAATCCTTACCAGCAAACTGGCGAAGCTAATTGAGGCGGGAGGGAAACATGCAACTTTGACTGAACGGAGGAAATGACTCAGAGAGCATAGACATACACGCACAATGAAAAACATCACATCTTACGACTGGAATAAAATTACATGCAAAAAAAAAACAACAACAACTACAACAACAACAACAGGATATGTAGCTAAAAATATTATAATTTTCTAACTTAAAACAAAACCCATCTGATAATTCAGAGGGAGTCGTCAATAATTTCATTGCTACATTTTTAAAATGAAGTGGGCTGTTCTTTGAAAATGAACTGATCGTGAAAAT